CAAACTCGGCTTTGAAACAATATCGAGAATAAACTGGATAGCTTGACGCTTAGATTACTCCCAAACCGCTTGATCAGCCGGACGAGCGCCTCTTTTGAAGAAAATTCCGCCATGATAGAGCCCTAACACACTGTAACAGCCTTTATAAATTTCCGATAACTCGATAAATATCAGAGAATCGCATCCCTCCGCCGCCGATGCTCGCTGGATTGTTACGGCCGAGAGAGAATTTGCTTCCCCCTTCGTGGCTCGTGCAACGATGAAAGCTTCGACAGGCTTCGTTACTTATCTTATTACCCGAAATTTCCCGGGTTTTTATTTTATTTTATTTTATTTTATTTCGAGGCCAATGCCAAATGGTTACTTATCCACACATTTTTTATTTTTTTTAATTTTTATTTAATAAAATTTTGATATCTTATATATTTAAATTGTCACGAGTAAAATGTGAGACTAAACTCAACGATACCACGACATCTTTTTCTTTATATTCATGAAAATTGAATAAAAAAGACTCTCGAGAGCTTTCGTTCATTGAGCAGTAAGTAAGAGTTCTATGAAGTTAATTTTGAAGAAAAACGTCAGAGAAGAAGAATTATTTTGCCGGCGTTTGGTCGTGTGAGCTCTCACATTGGTTAGAGAGGGAAAAAATATTTCTTAGAAGAGTGTGGAAACCTCTCCCTAACAGACGCGTTTTAAAACTGTGAGGCTAATGACCATATGTAACGGGCTAAAGCGGACAATATTTGTTAGTGGTAAGGTTGGACGATTACAAGGCGAGGTTTTTACTCGAAACTTCTCTCTTAAAATTCTCTTTCCATAGTCGATTACTTTCCATGATTCTTGTATTTAATTCGTAATCAAACGTTCCACCGTTTTAATGAAGGAATTAAATTGAATCACGGACGAGAGAGAAAGAATGATTTTGAACATTCGCTGAAATTTTATGAAAATGTGCGTGCGATTAGTATGAACAGAGCAAGCTCACTCCTATAAGCACTTTATAGTGCCACACGATAGAGCCTATGTGGGTGTGAATAGAGAACTTTACAGCTATCCTTTAGTTGTGAACTGGCTAGAGCAGCCAACAAACACGAGAGTTGCTCCTTCCTATGTTATGACAACATTATGGTTCTATCAAGGACACCGACAAGACAATCCAGGCAGTGTAGCTTTCTAAGATGATAGTTTCCATAATGATACAACAAAAGTTTAGAGTCAGAGCTTTGATGACATACACAAGGACGAGCGAACAGTTAACCAGACTATCTTGAATTAGAAAGAGCCTGATAGGGCTTCGTGATGATTATGCTCCATGGTGTCTACCAATTAAAACGAATGAATCAAAAGATGCTCCAGACTAGAAAACTATGGACCATCTGATCTAGACTCCTAAGTTGAGTCTAGGAGGACGACCAGAACTGAAATGCTAGTCTAAGGAAGCCTATAACGGGAATACACAACATTTATGTCCAACATGATTTAAGAATTAGTAGATACGCATAAACGTTAAAAACGACTCAAGAACCTAAAAATGATCTAAGATGAGACAAGAACGACTGAGCCATACTAAATTTCTTTAATTCAGTGTAGCTCGATTTAGCTGTGCAAGTCTTGTATAGAATAATCCAACCGAAAGGTTGTTGGGTGGTTAGCTTTGGTCGGAAGTTGTTCGAACATCCCATCAAGTTTGGTATTGTTCTTTGCTCACAAAGTGGTTCTTTAGGTGATTGAAGAAGCTTTGTTTTGCTTTTTCTTCAACAAGTCTTCACCCTTTTCTTCCTCTATCTACTTTCTTTCCCAAAATTCTTCTTTTTAAGTGCACGGATTCCTATATTATCGGTGCTAGGTAGCCAAACGAAAAAGGGTATCAATCCGATCAAATCTACGCTGATCTCGTATAAACTAAAGAGATAGGTTCGTTGATAAAGAAAAGGTACGAGAATAGTGATTGAATTGATGATAAAGTAGAATCTAAATCGATAATTTTGCTAACTATTTTTCATACCAATGTGTACATAGTTTTGTTGTGAGATTCTATATCGGTTGGAGAGGGGAACAAAACATTCCTTATAAAAGTATAGAAATTTCTCCCTAGCAGACGTGTTTTAAAATCATGGAGCTGACGGCGATACCTAATGGATTAAAGCGGATAATATCTACTAGTGGTGGTCTCGAGCTGTTACAAATGGTATCAGAGCCAGACACAGGGAGGTGTGCTAGCGAGAACGCTAGGCCTCCAAATAGGGTGGATTATGAGATCCTGCATCGGTTGGAGAGAGAAACGAAGCATTCCTTATAACAGTGTGGAAACCTCTCCCTAATAGACATGCTTTAAAATTGTGAGACTGACGACGATACGTATCGAGTTAAAGGAGATAATATCTGCTGATGGTAAATTTGAGCGGTTACAGTTGTAGTCAGACTCCATTCATGATTTTCTCTCCGTTTAAACATTTTTATATCATTTGAAGCCGACCGACCGTTAATAATAATAATAATAACAATAACGAAGCTGAAATCTCGAGACGATGAGATCAAAGAAACAGGCAACGAGTTACCAAATTGTCCTCAAAATCACGTGGATGACAGGGATAATTTCGGTAATTCCTCTCCACCAAACTTCTCACAATACTAGGAAGCAGGATCTCCATTTCCATGGAAGCTCCCAACAGATATCTCTGCGTATGGCTCTGGCACGTGCTGCACAGAAGGCACCGCACGTGCCGCTGCGCTAAGAAATTAGCGCCATGAACCGACTTGTCGCACTTTCCGCACAAGTACGCTTCGTCGGCTTGGCAGTACATCGACGCCCTCGAACCGCAGAGCTCGCACGCCACTGGCTCGCCTCCCCCGCCCGCCGCCGTCGTCTTGTCGGTTCTCCGCCGCTGCTCGACGGCGGGTTGGGGTGGTTCTTCTTGCTCCACTCCTTTGCACATCAGAAAAGCTTGATTGTCAAGGCAAGGCTTTGAGCGTAATGAATTGTTGTTTATATATCGAAAGGCTTCAGAAAAGGACAAAGAAGGAAATTAAAAAAATATATTTTTTATTTATTTATTTATTTATAAATATTAAATTACAAGTTGCCCAATTCGAACAAAATATAGTTCTCCATTTCATGGTTTAATGGAAGAAGGGTTCTTTTTAAAACTAAAATATAATATTTATTTATTGGGTTTTTCAGAAATTATGGTTAAATTACTAATTTAACCCCTGATTTTAAAAAATAAATTAAATCATTATAATTTAGACTCTATAATTATTATTATTTTTTTTTTTACTATAAAAGAAACTAAATAGAGAAGTTTTAAAATTGAATTTGAAATTTAATGGAAATTTTAGAATTAAATTCGAAATATACCTTAAAATTAGTTTATTGTTATTTTGAAGTATATTTTGAATTATGTGACAAAATAATAATAATAATAATTTTACGTGCAAAATGATTATAAAAATCAATTTCTTTTTTAATAATATTAAAAATATATAGACTAAAGTTAAATATATATGGAATTAAAATAAAATAATTTATCAGAAATATTATTTTTAATTTTTTTGAAAAAAACAACTATATGATTGGATATTAAACAAAGCAGGAAACGTGAAAATTCAGATTGAAAATAAAATATTTTAATTCAACTAGATATTTTAAAATTGAATAATTTAATAATAAAACAATTAATTTTTTTTTTAGGTGTTTAATATTCGAAATTTGTATGGCCAAAAATGAAAGGTTTTTGCAAAAAGAGGCTTTTTGGGGCAATTTGCAAATATCCAAATCTGTGGGGCCCACTGACTTTTATTTATTTATTTATGGATAAGATAAAAAGAGACGGAAAATATGTTTTGGCCACGTTACTCACTCTCCTCCATTAATTAATTAATTATATTATTTTTTATGGTAGAGTCACGTGACATGCTGGTGACGTGTTCATATTGAAATGTATAATATTGGTGGGCCTAGTCCACGTATTATGTACACGTGACTCATAATCGTTTTTGCTAGAATAAATTTTAAAAAATATATTTAAATTTTGGTGAATATTTAAGAAATATTTATATTGATTTTTTTTTGTCAAATATTCTAATAATTTTTCTAGGGTAATATTGGAGTTTTGAAAAGAATAAACATAATTTTAGAGTTTTTTAATTTTATTTTTATAATACCATTAAATTTTTTAAAAAAATTATAATAAGTTAAATTTTAAATTTTATTTATTTTTAAACTTGGTCTAATAAATTTTTAAAACTTCAATTTTATTTTTAACATGTCGATGAATTTTGAAATGTTGAATACACATTTTTTTTGTTCGTCAACTTTTTATTCTATTTGAAAAATATTTATGAATTAAAATTTCAATATTTGAAAAAAAAAATTAAAATAGTGAATTTTAAAGAATATATTATTCCAAAAATACCCTTCTTTTAAAATTTTCTTTATTACCCTTAATTTATTTTATAGAAAAAAAAACTTTTGATTATAATTGTGACAACAATTAAGTCAAAGTCAACAATTTCATTATAAAAGAAAGTAAAAAATTTCGGCTCCATTATTTGACCCACTACATTCTTTTTCTTTTTCTAAATGTGATTTTTTCTTGTTTGATTAAAAAAAAAAAAAAAAACTAAAAACTAAAAAAATTACCTAAAAAGTTAGTTAAAAATTATTTTTAAGAGTGGTTACGAGAATAAATTTGAATGGTTTCTGGTCAACCCATTTTAGTTTACAAAACCACTAGTCAACCCAGTCTATTAATAACGGAAATAAGTTCATAATCAAACCAAAATTGTATAGATTGGATTGAGTTGATGGATTTTTCGAGTCATCGAATTTTTTAATAACCTAATTCAAAGTTCATAAACTAAACCGAAAACATCTCATTTTCTTATATTATCGTAAGAATTCTCGGCCTCCAATGATGTCACGGAAGAAGAAAATTCAACAATTCCTTTATATATATATATAAACAACAAAACCCAATCCATTTAAGCTCATCTTTGTCCAAAGCGATGAGGCCTTCAAAATCAACCACTTTCCTCTTCCTCTTCGCTCTCATTCTCCTCTCCCCATCGGTCTTCGGCGAAGACATTGTAACTGACAGTGCGTTGCTGAATCATATTTGCATCAGTTTCGACAACTACACAGCCAACAGCTCCTACGCTTCCAATTTGAACCAAGCCTTCGCCCAATTAGCCTCCAACGCCCCTCCTTCCGGCTACGCCCAAGCCACCATCGGCAAAGACCCACAAACCCAAGTCAACGGGCTCGGTCTCTGCCGCGGCGATGTGTCGCCTGCTGATTGCAAGAATTGCATCGTCACGGGCGCCGACGAGCTAAAAGTTCGATGCCCACTAAGCAAAGGAGCTGCAATATGGTTCGATTATTGTCTGTTGAAGTACTCGAACGCCCAATTCTTTGGGAGGATTGATAATAGGAACAAGTTTTCTTTGGTGAATGTTGAAAGTGTGGAGAGTAATGTGACGGTGTTTAATGAAGAAGTTATGGGTTTGCTGTCGGATTTGGTTAGGAAAGTTGGAGGAACTCCTAAGCTTTATGTGATTGGAGACAGGGAAATTGAGGGGATTAAGAAAAAGTTGTATGGTTTGGTTCAATGTTCGAGGGATTTGTCTGTTGCTGCTTGTAAGAAGTGTCTTCGTGATGCTGTTGGGGAGCTTTCGAGGTGTTGTGATGGTAGGATTGGTGGAAGAGTTGTTGGAGGGAGCTGTAATTTTAGATATGAACTTTATCCTATTGTTGATGACCAGAAATAAATGGTGTATTATGAAAGAATAAAGTTACTATATAGTTTGTAACGTTGTATTGGAATGACGACGAGAGTTATTAGCTCGAAAGTCGTTTGGTTTAAGCTATATTTTGTGTACTCGGTATGATTGTCTCTCTTATATGTCTAACCGTGCAAGTTTAGAAAAGGAAGTTGAATTGATGAACAAGTGAATTGAGGTTAGCGTCTGCAGCAATAAAACGATGTCCTTTTTGTACAAAATCAAACATTTGTGAGAATCTAATGCCCCAAAAACTTGAGGGTTCCTATGCAAGGTTCGTCCATGGAGGGTGAGTCAAGGCCTAAGATCAGGTCGAAAGGCATAGTCGATGGACAATAGATGAATATTCATGTACTACCCTTTGTTGGTCCCGAGGGATGGAGGATACTGAGATTCTTCAAAGAATCCTATTGTGGAACTCTCGCATATGGCAGTGTGTGGTCATGCCACCGCCTCCAAGTCAGGTCAAATTCGAGAAGGCCACGAAGGACGATTCGTCGCTAGAGACTCGTGTGTTTATAGTTGGATACAGATAAAAGAAAATATATTTGTTACCTAAATATTGGATACATAAACACAATATTCTTACAATTTTCCCTCTTGTACATCCAACAATGCACTTTTAAATTGTAGGGGTAGTTTTATCGAATAATTTTTTCAAACAAGTGGGATGCTATTAATGCAAGCAGGTCGAGACCTTTATGTCACCCAATTGCCTTCACCTCGACATGCTTCGGGCTTGGGGTCAAACACGTGTCGGTTGGCTATTGGGCTATAGAAAAGTCGTATGATTTGACTCATAACTATAGTTTTTGAATGATATCTATATATTGTGGTGAATACGTTCAACAATCTTTTGTTAATACAAAAGTTAAGAATACTCGATATTTTTTAATTTTCTTCTAGAAGGTTGACTCAGCTTGGTTTGAACTTGATTGGCATCAACACTAACCCAACTAAGAAAATTATGGAGGTCATATTAATTCATGAAAATGACACGTATTCAACATTACCGGACATCAATTATTAAATTCAACAATTTCAACTCCATTATTTGACTATACACACTTGTTGACCTTTTTTCTTTTTCTTTTTTGTAAAAATCAAGTCAACAAGTCGACTCTATATTGCGGTGACGTCTCACCCACCAATTACGAGAACTGCATCACCACAACTAGATAAGTGATCCAACGACGACGTCCTCATAACAAAAGAGATGATTTTTGTCACTTCAAATATTCCAATACCCAAACAAATAATCCTAAGTAGTTTAATTGGCTAAGTCATGATTCGACAACTACACCATGAATAACATCTACACTTCCAACTTATAACTACTTGACTAATAGTGTCTCATCCTCTAGCCTCGACCTTAGCTCGACAAGGGTGAAGGTTGACAAAACCAAGTCAATGGGCTAGTTCTATGTCGCACGGATATCTCACCACCTCATCCTCTAGCTTTGACCTTAGCTCGACAAGGGTGAAGGTTGACAAAACCAAGTCAATGGGCTAGTTCTATGTCGCACGGATATCTCACCACCAGACAAGAGATCCAACATCGATTCGGTTACAAGAAAGACTCCAACATATGGTACGATTGCAGCCTCTTGAAATACTTCAATGCCAAATTCTTTGGGAAGAACCAAAATGGAGGGTTTAGATTCTATTTGAGGAACGTCCAAGAGGTGGATGATCCAACGTCGTTTATAGACCAAGTAAAGAACTTACTTGATGATGCCATTGCTGAGCTTCCATATTGGTGTGCAAATGGATCTGAAGTTGGAGGAAGAGTGGTCGGTGGGAATTGTAACTTTTTTATGTCAAAGTTGGATCAACTTTGATCCCACACACCACGATTCCCACGTGATTGTCTTCTATCATTCAAATGTCGAACTAATAAAGAAATTTGCCGCCGTCTATCGTAAAAGCTCGTAGGAATTCGGTCACTGGTCACTTGTCACCGATGGTAATAGTCCAAGCTTACCGCTAGCAGATATTATCCTTTTTGAACTTTTCCTTTCGAGCTTTCCCCCAAGGTTTTAAAACGTGTCCGTTAGGAAGAAGTTTCTACACCTTTTTAAGGAATGTTTTGTTCCCCTCTCCAACCAACGTGGATCTCACAATCCACCCCTTTGGGAGTCCATCATCCTTGCTGGCATACCGACCGGTATTTGCCTCTTAACCATTTGTAAAAATCCAACATCATCGCTAGCAGACATGTTTTAACACCTTGAGAGAAAATTCGAAAGAGAATGCCCAAATATAAGAGTATCTGCTAGCGATGAGTTGGGAGGGTTACACTCCACATGAACTCTATCGCTAGTTTAGAAATTTCAAACCTTATTATTGCGCACAGTTGGCAGAGTACCTCCCCACACATATACCCTCCAAATTTAGCCTCTGTCATTTAGCTTGTAGGGCATATACCTTATAAGCTTTGGTCAATTACCTTATAAGCTTTGGTCAATGACTATCAAAACGTCTTTGGGGCCACCTATTGCAAGGGGGTTAGACAAACATTTTCTGTTTCTATTCAACTTTAAGACCATACAAATTAATTAAAAAGGCGTCAACAAAGTCATATATAACTTAACCCGTTAAAATATATCCTCTCAATTAAAATAATTGAAACTAAATTAATAAAATTTAGAGATTTTTGGAATATTAGATAAGATATATACATCTAAAAAGAAAGTTTTGTCGTACCAAAGACATCAAATTTGTCTGAAAATCATTCAGTTCAGACATTGCAGAGAGAGCACCCAGTAAGCTTTTCAGTTGGACCATTGAAACTCATCAACTAAACATCTCAACTCAATTTCTTAGAACAGGTCATAGGTTCGAATCCCACATTTTTTGTTTTATGGCTGAAGGTAAATTTGGCCAAACAAATAACAGCGATGATATCATTGGGAGTAGTGTAAACACTGTAGACGACAATGATCAATGATGAGCTGTGAAACTGATGCACTAAGAAAAGGGAAGGGAAAAGAGAACAAAATATCACCGCTGATTCCTCTGCTTTTCTGCGAAAATTCAGTAAAATGGAACTGAAAATCCGTCGAAACTTGGACTCGAAATCTATAACGATTTACATGTCACTCCCATTCTCTACAAACCCATCTAAGAATTCAGGGGAAAAAAAAAATCAGGAAAGCTATAAATGAGCTAAATCAGTTGATAAATCTATCTCAGAACTTCTTAGTGGTCTTAGGAATCGAGGATCGCAACTGAGCATCCATTGGATCCGGACTCACAGATGTTGGACTGGGCGGAGTTAACGGCGCCGCCGCTGCGGTTTCTGGAGGAGGCGGAGATTGGGATTGCGGGGGCGGTGGTGGTAAGGGAGTTGGGATGGTAGCAGGCGGAGGTGGAGAAGCAACGTCAGGCGGAGGCGGAGAAGCCGGAAATGGATTTTGGGGTGGTGGGTTAGGATTGGAATCCGGTGGTTTTGGTGGGTTCTGCGGCTGATTGGAGGCGGCGCTGCCGGAAGGGACGGAATTGGGGTTGGGGAAGGCGGTTGGAGGAGAAAAACAGGAATCTCCGAGGCACTTGTGGGGTTTTTGGAGGCTGTGGCGGAAGACTCCAAAGGCTAGAACAAGGCCAAGAACCACCAAAACGGTGACAATGAAGATGAAGATCTTTGTAGCTTTACCCACATAACACATTTTTATTTCCAGACTTCAAAAGCTCAGATTCCAAGAAAAACACAGAGATCGTTGCTTCAGTAGAAAAAGATTTGGGCTTTGGTTCCTTTTCGTCTTTTTCTCATGGCGGTTGAAGAAGATGAGAAAGATGAGAGAGAGAGAGAGAGAGAGAGAGAGGAACTGGACTGGGCTTTTTACTGAGCTGTAACTTGGAATGGGATCGTATCCACATGAAGACCATACCCCTAAGGTGGAATGGGGCACCAAAGATATAAGGTAAAAGCCCGAGGGATTGGACTTCGAGAAAGCTCTGTTTAGACTTTAGAGGTAAAAAATGGAAAAGGGATTTTGTTTGTTAATGCACCATCGCCTACCATGGCTGTCGAGTCATTTGTACGCTCGAGCCCACCGACAGATATTGTTGTTTTGGCTTGAGAGATTTTCATAACCCTTACAACTAATGTTTCGTTCTCCTCTCTTCAGGGGCTCAGCGTCCTTGTTAGCACACCGCTCGGTGCCCACCCCTTCAGGAGCTCAGCGTCCTTGTTGGCACACCGCCCAGTGTCCACCCTCTTGAGGGGCTCATCGTCCTCGTTGGTACACCGCCCAGTGTTTGGCTTTGATACCATATGTAACGGTCCAAGCTCACCGCTAGCGCAGATATTGTTCTTCTTGGGATTTCCTTTCGAGATTTTCCTCAAGATTTTAAAAACTAGTGGGAGAGGCTTCCATACCCTTATTAATAATGTTTCGTTCTCCTCCCTACCGATGTGGGATCTTACAATCCACTCTCAAACATCTTCGCTGACACTCGTTCTTCTATCCGATCGATGTAGGATCCCACATCATTCCACTTTAAGATAGAGATTAATAAACTGTGGCTCTATGTCAGGTGGCTTTACATTTCCTCACTTTAAAATAGGCCTACAAAGATATCGACTTTGTTAACAAACTAAAAAACTAAACCATCATAATTTTGTCCAATTTTGAATTCTTCCAAGCTGTTACTATCAAAGCATCAAAATCTGAGCCTGACTTGCCTGACTTGTGCAAGTCTCAACAAGACGACAACCAATAAAGCATCAAAGCGCTCACACATCTTCCTCATCTTTGAACAATCATGGACTTGGACATGAACAAACTACAAGACATTTTCATTTCTGTAATGGAGAAGAACGTGTATGGATTGTGTTTCACTAGTTCAATCGTTATCCTAACCTGCTTTATGTGTGCATTCATGTTCGCTCACTTCCTATCTGTTCTAATAGTATTAGTAAGCAATAGAAGGAAATGACTTCAGAAACAATCATGACAAGTGTTGTGTGCCAAATGCATAGTGGAATCATAGAGACAATAGTACCATGCAGTGGATATGTTCAAGGTAGATATAAATGTAAAGTGCAAGGAAAGAAGCTAGAACTTAACTGGTCTCTCCCATGTTGGTCTATTGCATCAAGGATCAATCATCGGATTTCGGCGTACGAGGCAACTACAACAGAACCTGAGGTAACTACATTCCGACCTGTAAATCTTTCTTTTATCAGGTACCTGAATTTTGACATAGAAGGCCGTAACAAAAGCTTCAAAACGACACATTGAGAGTCACAAAATACCTTGGCAGTTTTCCATGGAACTTTCCTTTGTGCAGGCATCAAGAAGCAGTCCTGACTACGATGAAAGGCTGATAAAGAACTATGTGCCAGTTTATGTGATGCTTCCAGTAAGTTGCATACAGAATCCAGTATACTCAGCATTCATCAGAGTCAAACAAGTTTAGTTTATCATTCTTCTTGTTTTCATAACACCAGTTGGGAGTTATTACAACTGATAATGAACTGGAAGACAGAGACGAGATAACGAAACAACTCGAACAACTACGAGAAGCAGGCGTGGATGGCGTAATGATTGATGTTTGGTGGGGGATTGTAGAGTCCAAAGGGGCAAATCAGTATGATTGGACTGCATATAGAAGCTTGTTTAAGATAATTCAAGGATGTGGTCTGAAACTTCAAACTATAATGTCTTTCCACCAATGTGGAGGGAATGTGGGAGATTCTGTCAATATTCCACTCCCCAGTTGGATTCTCAAAGTTGGAGATTCAAATCCTCATATCTTTTACACAAACCGCTCAGGAACCAGGAACCAGGAGTACCTCACTCTCGGAGTCGATAACCAGCCTCTCTTTCATGGGCGAACTGCTGTGGAGGTCAGTTCCATGCAACTACCTGACAGAAAAACAATTTCATTAACACAAAAAAGAACTCAAATTTGTCACAGTAATCAGATCAATTAGTACTGACACATATTTTACTTCGTTCTCTATATAATTTCACATGATGGAACTACACAGATATACAGGGATTACATGAAGAGCTTTAGAGAAAACATGTTGGATTATTTAGAAGATGGCCTTATAATAGACATTGAAGTGGGACTTGGCCCGGCTGGGGAGTTGAGGTATCCTTCATATGTAGAAAATCAGGGATGGGTATTTCCTGGTATTGGAGAATTCCAGGTAAGACTAGATATGGAGCATTTTTTTCAAGGAGACTTCCCTGTGTTTTGGTTTCAACTATTTTTCTTTTATAGTGCTATGACAAATATCTCAAAATGGAATTCAAAGAGGCTGCAGCAACTGCAGGACACCCTGAATGGGAACTTCCAGAGAATGCAGGAACTTACAATGACATCCCTGAATCTACAGAGTTCTTCAGATCAAATGGCACTTACCAATCTGATAAGGGAAAGTTCTTCTTGACATGGTATTCCAACAAGTTATTGAGCCATGGTGATCAGATCCTTGAAGAAGCAAACCGGGTTTTCGTTGGTTGTAAAGTTAAATTAGCAGCCAAAGTACGTCTACAAAGCAAATATTTTTCTAGATCTTTGTCATTATAGAAACAAGCACAAGATATTGTCTGTCTTCTCATAAAAACAGGTAGCTGGGATCCACTGGTGGTATCATACAGAAAACCACGCAGCAGAGCTAACATCAGGATATTACAACTTGAAAACTAGAGATGGATATCGACCTATAGCAAGAATGCTATCAAGGCACCATGCAATTTTGAATTTTACATGTCTAGAGATGAGGAATTATGAGCATATATCAAGAGCTAGAAGTGGACCTGAGGAACTAGTTCAGCAGGTAAAGTATAATCAAGTTCATACAAGAAAGATCAAGAAATTGATCCCAAATTCTAGGAATGATTTGAGTAAGTTGCTCTTAAAGCAAAGTGACAATTTATTCAAATTTCTCCAACAGGTTCTAAGTGGAGGTTGGAGAGAAGGCATTGTAGTAGCAGGAGAGAATGCACTACCAAGGTATGACCACGCAGCTTACAATCAAATTCTTTTGAATGCTAGACCAAATGGAATCAACAAAGAGGGTCAACCGAAGCATAAGATGTTTGGAGTGACATACCTTCGACTTTGTGACAAACTCCTGCAGCAAAGAAATTTCAATATATTCAAGAGCTTTGTAATGAAAATGCATGCTGATCAGGTAAAGAATTATTCCAGAAAGCCATCAAATTCCTTCTTCCTGCCTTCGCACTCAGCTGGGTTGTCTTTTGTGCTTAGCAGGGTTACTGCCCCAACCCAAAGGACTATAACTGCGATGTTGTCCCACTAAAACAGTCGAGAGAAAAAATTTCGATGGAAGCACTTTTAGAAGCAAAGGATCCATTGGAGCCATTCCCATGGGATAAGGAAACTGATACTCCAATCGGTGGTCCTTTTGTGGATGTCTTTAATAGAATACTATACATATTTAAGTGAAATAAGAACCAAACAGAAGTGACCATGGGGATGCACCAAACTTTACTGTAGAGATCATGTATTTGTTCCTCCTGCTATTGTATAAAATTTATATGAAACCATTTTTAAGTAATAATCACCAGAATCTACATCAACATCCTATTAAATTGAACTAGTATTCTAGGGAGAAAGAATTAAATTATTCTAGATCTAACAACTTAAGACTTAAGAACTTCAAAATAATAAAAGCAACATCGAAGCTTAAAACTTCGAGAATTCTTTGCAAACGAACAAATGTCAAAAAAGCTGCTTACTTTCCAAACAGATCCTCCTACATCTATGTATAAACGCAGGTTTATCAAGAATATACAATAGAAACACTTAGAATTGTTGATTCATTATCGGAGATGGCTTAAAACCAATAGTTCATTATCTAATGAATTTTTCCGTTCTAATACTCAATCCAAGAGCAACATTTTATCTTATACTAGCTTAGCCTATTTCAAATGAACTATTTGTCCAACAATAAATAACAAATATTTAAACTCATAATTGAAATATAATTAAGAAAAACCTTACATCTTCACGGTTATTTATCACACCTACCCATGCAGAAACACAAACTATTTAATTTTTTAAGAGAATGTCATAAATTCCTTAGAACAAGAAAAAACCAGCTTGATTTCACATTCGTATAAATAAAGTTTTGACTTTATCGTGCTTTGTTATATCATGTTATACCAAATTATCACTTTAAACCAATAAAATAAATTAAGGAATATTCTATCGATTCCCACATGGTTAGAATCTTAGAACAAAAATAAATAAACAAACAATGGTTTGAAGTTCTTTAAACTAAAAGTCAAAAAGTTGTTTATATTTTATGATCATATTTAGGTTTCTTAGGAGGATTTCTAATCACAGATAATTTATTATAGTAACGGTGGCAACAGAGCATATAATTTAGTATTACATTTAATTTATTAATTTCTAGAAGGCACGGATACTAATAACAATTGAATAATCTTTTAAGAAAAGAAAATAAAATAACAATTCAATAGACTTTTAACTATTTATATATTTTCTTTTATTTTGCAATTTATTTTCGAGAATTTTATAAATGTTTTAACTAATAAAAAGAGAGTTCTTTTTTCTCCAGTTTCTCTCTCCTGTTAATTACTTATTTTTAAAGAATTTTAGTTATTTAGTTTACTTATTTATTTTAAAATTTTAATCAGCTAATTCAGCTTATCTTTTTAGCAACAATAAAGTTACATTTATAATATAATATGAAATATTTTTATTATTCACGTGCGTAAATAAATGCGAAAATTTTGTCCTATTCTTGCCTGTCACGTAACCTTGTCTCTTTAGGAATAAAAGGGTCCCACCAATAACTGTCTGCCACGTCATGATACTCCAACAGATCAAAAACCCTATTCCAACACTATAAATTAAATTTCTAACGCCCGCTCTTCCCAAAACCAGACCTCTTACTTTTCCTTTTTTTTTTCCAAATCGATTCCAATGGCACCAAAGCGGCTCATCGATGATCTACCATCGGCTCATGCCGTCTCTGATGCAGAAGAAGAATCCGGTTTCGAAACTCTTGGAGAAGATCCAGAAATCAATAATCTAATGCAGAACTCTGAGGATGAAAACGAAGAACAAACCTATGAAGATGAAGAAGACGAAGAAGATGAAGAAGAAGAGGAAGACGAAGAACATGCAATCCCTTCTCCTATCGTATCTAAACGTGAAAAATCTCCTGAAAAAGATTTTGGGTTCGTTTCAGATTCCGATTCTGAGAAAACCCAATCCTCCCCTAGTGCTTCGGCTTTCACCATCAAATCGATTCTTAGAAAATCGGCTTTTGGGTCTTCTAAACCTAAGAAGGGTTCTCACAAATCGAGTATTGATTGTGCTATTGTCAAGCCTGTTGGTTCTGGGTCGAAGCGGCCGATTGAGAATAACTTTCATGGGAATGAGTTGAACAAGAAGAAGATCAAGAGGGTAATCAATGGCGAAGATATTGAAGAAGGAAAGAAAGTTTCTGGGTCTGGAATTAACAGGCTTTGGAGTGAGGATGATGAGATTTCTATATTACAGGGCATGATTGATTTCCAATTGGCAAAGGGGTCTGATCCTTATGCTGATATGAGCCAATTTCTTGAGTTCATAAAGAAGAATCTAAGCGTTGATGTGTCTAAGAATCAATTGATTGATAAAGTCAGGAGGTTGAAGAAGAAGTACAGAAACAACTCGGAGAAGGGAAGGAATGGGGACGACCCTGTATTTTTGAAGCAACATGAACATAAATCCTTTGTGCTGTCAAAGAAAATCTGGGGCAATGAAGCGAAAAAGAAACCAAGGAAACAAAGTGTGAAAGCTAGCAATTCAGTGTCTATAAGCTCGCCGAGAGTAGATATGGAAGCAGCAAAGAAAGAGGCTTTGAATGTTGAGAGTAAGATATTGCCAGAGGAGTTTCTATCTGAATTTCCATGGCTGAAAGCTTCGATCATGGTGGAGAATGATAAGTTCTGTTCAGAAGGGTTAATGCGGCTTCTAAGAGAAAGAATGCCATCAATTGGCAGTGAAAAGGCAAAGGAATTGGATGAAAAATGGAGGAAATTGGGAGAGAGTGAAGTGGAATTGTATCTGAAGAAGGTTGAATTAGTTAGGGAACAATGTAAACTAATATTGGATTCAATGGGGAAGGCAAGGAGAGCTAGCTAAAGCTAATCAAGGTAGTAACAATTACTTTCTTGAGTAAATTTTTTTTCATCTCTGAAATTCTTTTAACTATGAGCATTTTGGAGTATACCTGTCTACAATGGCTAGGAACAGTTGCTACTGTATTTTTCTGAGTTTTAATATTTAATAGAAGATATTCCTTTTCGGGTGTTTTTACATACATTTCTTTATTTCTTCAGCTTGTCTGGTTCATTCTGATTCCTAGTTTTTGGCTCACTGACACCCATGGAATGGAAAAGTAGCCTCCATTCTTTGATGACCACAAAGAGAATATTCATAGGACTTGAGATATGTTTTTCAAATGCCTAGAATTTCATTATTTAATATTTGATCACTGCATAATGAGATTACTTCTGTATATTCTATTCTCTCCTTCAATATCAGGCAGCTTTTAGTTTTTGTTATAGTTTTTGTTAGGAATCAAAACTGGCCGTTAGTTTTCTTTTAGTTTCCCCAAAAAGTCTCATACCAATGGAGATGTATTTCTTACTTGTAAATTCATAATCATTCCCTTAATTAGCAAATATGGATCTCTCTCCCAACCATCTTCAACAATCCTCCCCACTAACAAAGTACACCAGTCGAGTCACTTTTGACTACGTCTTTAAGGATTACAACTTCTTTGTTCGACACTTGAGGGTTCAATTAACATAGTTAAATTAAGGGCATGACTCTGATGCTATGTTAGAAGTCACGGACCTCCACAATGGTATGATATTGTTCATTTTGAGTAGATACTCTCATGGCTTTGCTCTTGGTTTCCCCAAAAAACCTAGTACCAATGAAAATGTATTCCTTATAAACCCATGATCATTCCCATAGTCAACCAACATGTGACTCCCTCCCAACAATCTTCAACAATTTTATCTCAGGTACCTGGAATTTTTGTTGATGTATTACAAAATAGATATGAGAGAATTAAGAACTTATCAGATGCAATCAAGGTTTTGTGTATGATAGGTATTTGCTTTTTGCCTTCTCTAATCTTCTTTTGGATCTATATACTTTTTAGATCAACCATTAGCATAGTCCTCACTTGATCTCCAATTCCATAGAAAAATATGATAGATTACTTGTGTACCATTGTCATCACAAGGCTTTTACCAAGCCCCTCTTCTCCACATATAATCCTATATTATTGCTGTGAGAAGTCCTAGCTTGTGGGTTTGGATCTTCTTTAATGAAAACTTTGGTACATACATTGGGACAATTCAGTTTATAATGAACAAGAATTGCTCATTGTTCATTATAAACTGAATTGTCCCAATCATGATCAAATCACTCTATAATAAAGCTTCATCATGATCAAAACTAGATGTACAAATGGTTATTGGGATTCCCCATTTATGATGATACTCCACATTATTAGCGAACCCAGAGTCCCAATGTTTGTCTCTACATAATCTAACACAATTTTTGTAGGGGTTGCACTCAGATTATTGTTTTCCAATGAAGTTCACAGTTCTGCAGTTTCAACAGTTCTTAAACATAGCCAAGCATTGAAATCAAGCAAACCAAGGATTTAAGCAAGTTCCTATAGACCAGTGCAAAGAAAAAACCAGAGAAAAATGATCGATACCTATCTTAATAATAATTGGCAAAATTATATAAAGAAAAAACAATGGATCATGCTTTGTATTGACCCAAAATGGAAACACGTAAAGAGAAATAAAATTGTAGTACCCGACGCGCCGCCTTGCTGAACAACCCGACGGCGGAAATTGATCGGAAACCTAGGGCTTATGTCGGAACGTTGAGATCTGCTGCAGAAGAACTCTTTTCTCTGCGATCTTCTGGATAAGCCCCAACTGTTCTGCCGAGAAAACGCAACAACTCTGCGAACAAAGCATCGTCTGAGCGACCGGCGAGTTAACCAAAACTTGCAATAGTTGGTTTCTGCTCAGCCTCTCCAATCCACCAAACACGCCGCTTATGTGATGATTCGAATTAGTAGAAATGGCCGACTCGCAAGGCATGGATTGAAGAGCAAGGAGTTGCGCCTGAAGGAACTTGACGTACTTAAACGCTCCTTCAAGCATTGTAGAGATATCCATCTTCTTGTCCCACGGCAGTAGCTTCTGCAAGCAACGCGTCTTGTCGCTCAATTTCTGCCGACGCTGTCGAGCTAATGCGCTGCGAGGAATTTGAACAGTACGAGACACAGCAGCGGAGCTACTTACCTCACACTCTCGCATCATCGGCTCCACCATCTGCAACGGATTCCACACAGAATCGACTCGAGCACGCTTGTTAAACGACGACGAACATTGCCCCAAAGAACGCAGGTCCGGCAAGTGAGGAAACGACGTCGAAGCATGAAAAACAAACGCCGTTTGTTCATACACATTCATCGGCTCGGATGATTCAATACTTTCAGCGACGAAGTTAGAGCTCGGCTGAGGATACAACGACGTTGAAGCATCGGGGAAAGTAAGCGCATCGGAAATGTAGCCTCCTCCAAACAGAGACGGCAACAACAAGGGACAATGATTCTGATTACCACCGGCGAGAAACGACTGAAGACTTACGCCGGAAAACATGGCGTTGAAGCAAGCATCATCCCAGACATTGGTGGAACCATCGTCTCCAGCAGAACTTTCCACCATCATGAGACCTAAAAAGAACCAGAGAACAAGGAATTGTGTATACAGATATATATATATATATATATATATGATTTTGTAATGGTGAGGAAGAAGAAGACAAAAGGAAAACAGAAGGAATGATGACGGTAATTAGGGCCGTACAAGGAGGAATGTAACCGACAGGTGCAGGTGGCGGGGGGGGGGGGGNCGCTTGTTAAACGACGACGAACATTGCTCCAAGGAACGGAGATCGGGCAAGTGAGGAAACGACGTCGAATCATGAAAAAGGAACGTGGATTCTTGAGTCTCCGTTTGTTCATACACACTCATCGGCTCGGATTTAGGCAACTTGAAGAAGGGACCATCGGAAGAGGCGGTACTTTCAGCGACGAAGTTAGAGCTTACCTGAGGATACAACGACGTCATACCGTCAGGAAAAGTAAGAGAATCGGCAACGTAGCATCCTCCGAACAGAGACGGCAACAATGTGTGGCTCTGGCTACCACCCGCGAGAAACGACTGGAGACTGACGCCAGAAAACATGGCGTCGAAGCAAGCATCATCCCAAACAGTGGAGGAAGCATCGTCGCCAGCAGAAGTCTCCATGAGCAAAGCAAAAACCAGAGAACAAGGGATTATATTTGTAATTGTTGTGTATATCTAGACTCTGCAAATTAACGTAATGGCGTAATGGGTTTATTTGTAATGGTGAGGAAGAAGAAGACAAAAGGAAACAGAGGGAATGATGATGCGGATTGGGTCCGTACAAGGAGGATGTAACCGACAGGTGTAGGTGGCGGGGGGGACTGTACAGCTTCTTCCGGTACGCTTTTTTGTCGTTTTCTTCCCGCCGTTTCACATAATCGGACTGGGAAACTAACTAACTTCTTACTGAATATTATTAAGTTTACTTTAATTCAATTTTTGGCCTTATTAATTTTTGCTTATTAGATGTGGAAATTTAAATATTAAATGGTAAATTTCATTTAATAAATAGTACATGAAAATATTTTTATATCTATTTTTTTAATATAAAAGGCAACAATAATTTCGAGAAATGAAAGAGATTACATCAATGTACTATCAGAAAACGAACACTTACCATGCTAATTCATTTATATATACTTGCGTATCTAAACTATACTATCAGAAATGAAAGAGATTACATCACTGTAATCCTCGATTTGTATAAAGTTCAATAACATGTGTGAAGGTAAAGAGATTTAAACTTCTAACCCTTTCGTTTTTATAACAACTCAAACCTATTACTAGTAGATATTTCCCGCTTTTGACCCGTTACGTATTGCAGCATGTCTGCTAAGGAGAAGTTTTCACATAAAACCCTCTCCAACTAATGTGAAATTTCATCATTTCCACACCCTTATAAAAAATGCTTTTTCAACTAACATAGAATCTCACAGTTCTTAACAAGATAAGCTAAGCTACGTTCATACCGACAAAAACTCCACCTCCTACAAGTCATGTCATTGCTTTAAAAGACGACGAAAACTCGAACAATTCATCATCCACACGTTCGAATACGAGAGAAGAGAACTTGCTAAGCCTTTAAACTATTTCTTCTACTTTCATTTCTCCAATTAGAGGGAATAATAATGATTTACTAACCAAATATGAATTACAAAATAACAAAAGGAAGAAGAAAGGAAGAAGAAGAAGAGAAGAAACTGTACAGAAGAATGGGAAGGAAGAAGCTAAGCTAGTAATGATGCTCTGGAATGATGGCCAACCCCCCAACAACTATTCAGGGCAGCGATGAACACTATAAATTGAGAAATCATTCCAAAACAATTTACACAGGATTGGGTAATGATCCTACCTCTACTCCTACAAAAGTTTTTTCTTACCGATCCCACATGGCCTGAAATATGGGAGTTCTGTGCTTTAGCCAATGTACCAAATCCCTCTCTAGGGGTGAGTTGTTCAACACCGCGTCCAGCATTGGGCTGCCGATCACCTTTGGGGAGTTCTTGAACGACCATATCCGATCCTTTGGCCACGGTCTCTGCGGCTGCTTCTCCTGGAGGAACCAGAACCAATATAATATCAGAATCGTTAGCAAAAATCGGGCATCCGAATCAGTCTAGAAAAGGTAAGATAGATAGACTCACCATCCTTGACAGCATAAATTTAACAGTCTTTGGGCCATATACACGCTGCCGTGAAGGCTTCTGAATTCTGGCATAGAAGGAGGCTATCTCTGGCAAAGACAAGCACCCCCTGCTGGCCTCGGCCAGGCTACGATCTGGATCGATGTTTTGCTGGTTGTGCCAAAAAATTAGCTGCCCTAAGCAATAATTCTGACCATACGTCTTGCGGTACTCTTGAAAACCCGTCCCTAATTTATCCAAATACTTGGGACCCAAGTCAAGTGAACTAATGTAAACTGGTGGGGAAGTTACAGCTTCGTATTCCTGCAAGTAAAACCAAACAATGCCTCAATATTGTACTCGGATGAAGGCAGTTAACAGCGAATGCTGCGAAATTGTATACGTTCGTACCTGTATTCTAAAAAAATTCTTAGTAAAAGCATAAATATGAATCAAATCTGCGGCAGCATCGTTACGGGACTTGTATGTACAAGGAACGTTACGAACTTCATCTCTCAACCTGCAAAGAAGAAATGGAATGAATTCAAATAAACGTCCATTTTTATTGTTGTTTAAAGCATGGGCGGGCATATAAAGCTACTCACCACAATAGAGATTGTTGAAGTTCGTTTTGAATGTCATCAGAGTTTAATGGATCGTGGGCATGAATCTTGGATTTGAGATCAGTTATTAAATCTTCTTCAACATGTGGAGCCATGCTCTGAAGCAGCTCCTCAACTAGCGATCCCTCTCCTTTCCATAGATAATATACAGCTTCTTCAGGACTAAGCCTCTTTAATGGAGGTGGAGCATTCTTTGGGTCGCCAAAAATGCATCTCATCACATATCTCACCTTCGGACAGAATTTAAAATGGTACATAAGTGAAATCAAACATACAAACAATGCTCCTGACGAACAAGAAGAAGATGTGAAACAGAAAATAACAACACCACTAGCAGATATTGTCCACTTTGACCTGTTACGTATCGCCGTCAGCCTCACAGTTTTAAAACGCATTTGCTAGAGAGAGGTTTCCACACTCTTATAAGGAATGTTTTGTTCCCCTCTCCAACTGATATGGGATCTCACAATCCACCCCGCTTGGGAGCCCAGCATCCTCGCTGGCACATCACCTAGTGTCTGGCTTTGATACCATTTGTAATTCTGCATTTGTAACAACACGTATGTGAGCTTGGGCTGTTACAGATGGTATCAGAGCCAGACATCGAACAGTGTGCCAGCAAGGACATTGGCCTCCAAGGGGTGGATTGTGAGATCCCACGTTGGTTGGAGAGGAGAACGAAACATTCCTTATAAGAGTGTGGATACCTCTCCCTAACAGATACGTTTTAAAAAACGTGAGGTTGATGACGAAACGTAACAAGCCAAAGCAAACAATATCTATTAGCAGTGGACTTGGGCTATTACAAACAATCTATCCTAATTCAACCGAGTTACATACGACATTGAAAGGAAAAAAAGGTATTCACCTTGTCGAGAGTAACAGCCAAATTTTGTAGCCTTTGATTGTAAACACCCTCAGCCTGTCAAGGGCATACAAGAAATTAATATATAAAAATAATTTCAGTGATATACTTATCTTTTTTATAAAACAAAACAAAACTGGTGCGTCTCAACAAAAAGCATATGGATGTAAAATTCATATTACCTGAACTTCAGCGTCACTCTTCTCAACATCAAGACAGATATCTGAAAAGTATTTCCTTTTCTCCTCCAAATTGTGTGTCAGAATCTCCTCAGGAAGCTTTGTTCTTTCAAAATTAATGAACCTCACCTGGAACCAGAATCCAAGGGTTGAGAAAATATGAATATCATATACACATATGTGCCATAAGCAGCACCATGGCACCCAGGAAAGGCTCTTACCACACGAGCTGCATAAGCCACCAACCAATCAGGTAAACCCCCAAGTAAACAACTGCCCAATCCTGCTCTACCCAAGTCAAGATAATCCTCTTCTGATACTGAATTTAATTCACAGGCTTCTAGCATCAGTTGATGACAATCCAGAAGGCCATGCCATTCCTCCAATACCTGGTGGAAAAACAACTTGTCCTGATTAACTACTGGGGCCACACAGGAGATCAACGCAGGGAAATAGACTAAACAACCAAACTAACCGATACATTCGTAAATTGTGGGAACATGAAACCAAAGATCTCTAAGCACGTGAAAATAAACATAAGCTGAAACCAAAGAGGTGCACGTCTTTTTTATAAAAAAAACCGTCCAAATATTACCTTCAGAAAGGCTCCATCACCAGTCAAATTCAAGTAGCTACCTCGGCAAACATGGCTTCCACATAAACAGACTGATGCTTCATATTCTTCCTTACTCTGGTGGAGTGAAAGGTAATATTAGAGGAGAATAGAACCCCAGAGATCTCTATCAGAAACGCATTGCAAAAGGACATACCTCTGTTACGGAGTTATAATCGAATGTGATCTCCTCACCATACTGTATTTTGCGTAAGGTATAAATTCCAATCTGGTAATGACCATCTACGGCGGTAACTCTGCGTTTTAAAGCAATATGTTATATTATCTATGATTTGTAGAGAAGCTACATTACACAGTAAGTCAGGAAGCAAATGCAGATGATATGGGGCAAAGTTCAACAAACTTATCAATCAGAAAAATTTAAGTTCAATCAAAGCAATAATCGTCCTTCTAGGACACTTTCCAGAGAATTCTGGAAGGAAGATTAGTGCTAAGAATAGTCTTCTAAACCATGAACTGCTAAGAAGAGGGAAAAAATCTAGGCTTATAAAAGAACTTACTTTGCTTCACAATTAGGTCGGCAAGAATGGCAAATGCGGCTTGCATAGTTTGCTTTGTGCATGGCGTCAACTACCACCAAATCATAACCGTCCCCGTCACCCTGCCAGAGAGAGGAGATTAAATACTCAACAAGGTATGTAGAATAAAGCATTAGAAACTATATATATGCTGAAACATGCATATAAAACACAAATACAGCTAAGTAGGTGCACCTTCGGTCTTTCTAAGTAGATATTATAAAATTCGGGAGCTGGGTCCTTGTCATTTTCCTGTAACGACCTAATTCCATCCTGCTTCTCGTACCATTTCCAAACAGGATAAACCTAAATAAAAGAGAGATGATAAACATGTAAGTACTGGGACATATAAGTGAGTTTCATTCCAAAAAACCAAGTAAGAACACAAAATTGAGAAAACTATCCACAAAAGCAGAAAATGAGATGGGTTAAAAAATGAACATATTAAGGACACATGATTAATATCTGGCAATACAAAACCTCTCCTCTTTAAGACTGTCCTAAACACTAAAAATTTCCAACAAGATTTCAGTGGATATAAGAAAGCAATATGAATTTTGCAACCATATCAATTTACATTAGATTTATTATCATAATGATCTCAATCCATAATCCTAAGGAGAACTGAAGGCATACCTCTCCCAAAAATTCAACGACGAAATCATCTTCTGCAAAACCTTCTTGTTTGTTGCATACAACACCCAGCCCCTAATCACACAAATCAGTAGACAAACAAAGAAGAAAGAACAAAAATTGACGTCAGAAACATTTGCAAACAAGTCATGTTAGTCGGATAAATGATCAAAAAGCGCAAGTAGTTAAGATGGTGTTTGCATACCTTCCTATAAGCAACATATTTGTCCTCAGGACGACTATGCATGGCTTTCAAGATACCTTGGCACAGTCTCATTGTTAGGATATCACATTCTTCCACAGCAACCTTCTCGATTTCTTCAATAACGGGCTGTAAAGGATACATCATGGGAGTGTTTCCAGTGCCAGTGAAATGTATGGCCTGCTTATTCAAAGTGCGAAGCAGCACGTCTTCAATAAACAAATGTTTATCCATTAGAGACCAATTCAAATCTTCAGGCACTGAGTCCAGCAAAAGATTGTGTGTATAAGGGTCAATCCCGTAAACTTCTTGCTCTAAGACCTCATCTCCAATTTTCTTTCGAGGTTTGTAGTCCTTGACTTCAGGAAGTTCCATATCTAACTCCTCAGTACCATTCTTCTGGGCATTTAATTTCTCAACATAGTCATCTGGTAGAGATACCCTCATCTTGCGTCGAACTTCCTCCTCGTCTGCTATGACAACATATTCGTCAATCAACTCATACTTCCTTGTGACAGGAGGAACAAGGCTGGCTTTTGTCATGCGGGCACCCCATTCACGGTCATCCATTGTAGAATCAAGTGCCTCATCAAGAATAAAGCATTTATCTCCTCTTGTTTCTCCAAGTCGACCTGATGAGAACTCCAAATCGCTTTCTGTATCTGAGACACTGTTCTCACTGTTACTCTTTTCATCTCCAGAAGACCTATCAAAATCGTCTGATGTTTCACTCTCAGATCCAATTGACTTCTTATTCAATTTGGATAAGCGTCTCCTGATTTCTCGATCAGATGCATACTCTCCATGATCTAAAGCACCATTTCCAAATATGGAGCCATTGCTCCTATTAGTGTATTTCCTTTCAGTAGCCATTTTACCAAGCCGTCTTTTGTACTTCTGAGCAGCAGAAGAACCAAATCTTGTAGAGTTGTCATCTTCCCAAGAGTTCAAATCATCCCTCTCCAGACGTACCTTTGATTTCTTCTCCAAACGGGTGGCAAGTTGAATGAATAGCGTAATTATGTGATTCATATCTCCATCACCACGGCTCTTTGCTCTGCAACAACATGAAGTACAAACTTTATGACAGAAAATGCAGCAGCATTGAATGTGAACAACTAAAAGCTCCAGAAACAGAAAGAAGAATGGGATTATTTAATTTAACAAAAAAAACGCATTGAAATATATATATACACAAGGGAAAAGGAACAGCAAGCATATAGAATCAAAATATATCGGAAAAATAAATATTTACTGGATTCACAAAATTTCATTCTTGCACAAAAATAAAAATAGAAATCATTTAATAATATTAAAACACCAAAAACACAAAACAAAAATTTTATTGCTGGTTTAGAAATGAGATTCAACAAACAATGTTATTAGAGATAGAATTCCTTTAATAATAGTTTTTCAGAAACAGTATTCTCAGAACCTGAAAAGATAAATAATTAGATTCTTTTATTGTGTATATATATATAATCCCGTTATTTCCTAAGTTTAAATGTTTCTTTTAAAGAAAGCACACCAAAATGGACTCCAGTTGACCATTTAATCAGATAACGGTTGTTCAAAATACGTATTTGCTTTCCTCATAATCCATCTTAACCTTTCCAGATGGATTTGCAATTATTACACAAGAGACTCAAATTAGTCCAGTGCCACGTAATATTGTTGCAAAATCAGTAAAAGGTCAAAAGGATTCCAAATCGAACATACTTTATCGCATCCCTGCACATTCGACTGATGTCTTCCTTGACAGAACAAAGCCCCCGCTTGACATAATAACCATTTCTAATTCTATCCTGAATTTCAGCAACCTGCAAAACATATTGAGAACAGAAACAGTGATAAATTTGAGAACAAAGAGTAGCTATATTCTAAAAAAGAAAAAATAAAAAATAAAATTCTTATGAGGTACCTTGGGCACAAAGAATCCAAATGTATTGTCCTTCATGATCTCCTTCAGACTGGAAGCAAGAAATTCCACCATCCTCTTATATCCAACTTCTGATTTCTTAATGGACCATTGTCTCATGCGGGCATCTCTAGAAACAATTGATGAGGACCTTCTAGCATCAAATACTTTTGAACGCTTGTATAAGCTTCTGCGGAATAACTGATTTGCTGACTCCCTCTTATCCACACTTTCAAAATACTCCTTCAGCTCACCAAAATCATCCACGTTAGAACTAAGGCCCTTAATTTTAGAAAGAGAAGAAGATTTTTCAGTTATATGCCTAAGGCTCCTTAATTTAGAGTGTCCTTCTTCGTTGTTTTTTGTGCCAATTGAACTTCTTTTCAACCAATTTATATTCGGGTAATTGGATGACAAATCATTGAACTGACTGCAGCCTCGAACATCTATAGAGGCTAACTGAGGAAACTTGCCAAGAATCTCTTCAAGTACAACTGCGGTAACGTTGATGCAGCCAACTAGAATTATACAATTGACCTTTTCTTTATTATAAGTGCTCTGCAAGCAGAGACATAAATTGGGTTAGACTGGGATTAAATAAGCGACCCCATACAACAGAAGCCTTTGAAATAACACTTACCATGATGTTCAGGAACGTGGAATTTGTGCAGTTTGGACCCAAGGATGATAAATCAACCTGTCTAGAGATATCCTTATAAAACCGAACAGCAGCTCTCCAGTGCTTACAAGTTACAGAAGCAAACGATAGGGATTTAAGGTCAGACTGCAGAAAATGAAAAATTCGTGCCAGAATATGACCATCAAGGAAACCCCAGGATTCCACCTCCAAACTTGTACTCCCTTCTCCATGGAAAGTGGCATCCACGCACAAATCCTCAAACGAAATTTCATCCTTTTGATGTTGATGCAGCAAATCCTCATCCACTTCACAATCGTCCTCACTTTCATCAAACACCACTCTGGCTCTTTTAGCAGAACGTGCACTGCCATCTGTAGTTCACAAAATCCAGCCCACAACCAAAGTGAAATCAGAAAAATGACCAGAACTTATGAAATAATTGAGGAAAACATTCATAAGGAATAAAAGCCAGTTACTTATGTGGTAATAAGATGACTAGAACTCAATTAATAAGATGAAGGAAACAAATGGATAGACCTATAACAAAAATTTTAGAAAAGAATAATATAATCACAATGCTCACAATAACATATAAATGCAACTTAATAAAACTAAACAATTACAGATAACCCTACCCCCCCCCCCCCCCCCCCCCCCCCCCCCCCCCCCCCCCCCCCCCCCCCCCCCCC